TATAAGTCGGACGTTTAGTTACAAAAACAACCTAGGTCCCACTCATGCAAATTTTTAGATCCGCCCTGCCACGATCAGACCTGCAATATAAATGTATAATATCTATTAGTTTACCAAGTTTTACAGTACACTAATAAACTTGATATGATCAAAATATATGTTATACATACACATTTGTTTGGCTAGGAGATTGTAACTGTTTCAAATCAAACTTTGTATTAAACCAGTTGTTATACCACAACATTGTCATACCTTGAAAATTCAAAACCCCATTACATTTTACATAAATAACAAATTTGGCATGTAAACATATGAACATGTAATTCTAATTATGTAATTAACTCAATCACACAAAATACATAAAAAATACTTTACCTATTTACGTAACTAATAAGTAATGTTATCATTCCAACTAGTATAATGATATAAAAATTTTGGATGTATCAGGCAATAATCATCTTACAAATAAAGTTTCCAAAGTCATATCATATATATGCAGAATGTCACAACCCTAATCCAGTAGTTTGTGAGTCACAAACTACTGGATTAGGCTTAGACATCACATAAGTAGGAACTCTTAATTTCCAACAAGTTGTACATCCTTCTGAAGCAGATTAAAGTTAAAGCTAAAAAAAAGATTACTTATCTACATATAATGAAAAATGCCCTGTAACATTTTGGTTAAAAAATATTTTACTATTCGCATGTTATTAACATAGTATGACTGGTCTGATATACATCATTATTGATTAGAAGTTCATTGTAGCAAAATATTTACATACGACAGTAATTATAACTTAGTTAAATCATGAAACTTCTTCTTCTTCTTCTTCTTCTTTTTTTTTTTTTTTANAACTATAGGAAGCTCCATAGCAATAAAAGAGATACAATATCCAATACAATCAACACCAATAAACCGCATAGAATGGGAGACCTCACAAATGAGGTCTAAACAAATGTCACAGAAGCATAAACAACATGTTGCTGAATTCCTAGGCAACTAAACAAAGCGGAAATAGAGATCAGAGGAGATATTAAACTGCCCCTAGGGCTTAGAACACCTCTTCTGAACTCCCACAACAGTTTGATTGATACTTCCCTAAGTGCTTGTTGAACAATGAGATGTTCTGGTAAGGATTGCTTCTGAAAAATTAAAAAGTTCCGAGATTTCTACAACCACTAATTTATATATGTCGATAGTTGGATTCTCTCCCCGTTCACATCCTTATGGCTCAATGAGCAAATACTCCACCACCAGTCAACAAATGCAGCAGGAGGATTAGGAAAATTATCCCATTGTAGGGGAGCAACTCTCCACAACCTTTGAGCCTTGGGACATTGCCAAAGAGCATGCTCAGTTGTCTCAACTTCTTCTCCACACACAGCACAGATAGGATCAACACGAACTCCTCTCTTTGTAAGGTTAAGAGAAACAGGTAAGGCATTTGAAAGCATTTCTAGATGAAATGTTTTATTTTACCTTTGATCTTTAATCTCCAAGTCCTGGCTCCGACTTGCACATCTTTAGCTCGAGAGAGGCTGCCTTCAGGTCTGTTTAGGAGTAGAAGTTTTTGAGACATAAGATTTGAGTAGGCAATAGCAACTGAGAATGGTCCCTTACTTGAGTTCTGCCAGAGCCAACCATCTTCTTTCTCAGGATTCAAGTGGTTCAACTTCAGAATAGCATCAACAACATCTTTTTCAAAGAGGGACTTAACCATATCAGAATTCCATTCCCTGCCATTTGGTGCCAGCAGCTCATGCACCCAAGAACAATTGGTTTGAGTTCCTTCTTTAAAAGTAATTTTCTGAAAGTTCAGAGATTTATCTAGAGATACCCCAAAATCAAAGAGTTCCTACCACTTTGCAGATTTACTCTCAAGCCAAGATCAAATTTTTCTTTAACCTCCATCCAGCAGTTCCACAGCCAAGAACCACCCGATTTCTTTCTTGCCTCAAAAAAAGAAGATGTAGGGAAATATTTGGATTTCAGAACTTTAGCAACTAGGAGATCAGGGTAAGATACTAACCTCCATAGTTGCTTCATAATCATTGCTTCATTAAAGAGTTGGATGTCTTGAAATCCCAGTCCTCCCCTAAATCATGAAACTTCAAATAATTGATTTGGAATGAATATGGTGGTGAATGGTAATGCACTTTATTTCTAATTGCTCTTATTTAATTTAATTTATTGGGCGTTATTGCCCAGTAAGCCATCACTTGAAATTTTATTGGCTTGGGTGCATCTCTGGAATTTGGTTTACTAATATTTAAAACAAAAAAATTTAGAACACTAACCATATTCTTTCACTGTTTTACATTAGACAAAAATTTAGAATAGTAACCATATTATTTCATATTAGACAATCAACAAATTTAGAAGATCAATAGAAGTGTTAAGTCAGTCCATCAGTAACAAACGAAAAAGTAATGAGTAGGATGGACTGTGAAATCCCCGAACCAAATTTATATATATTAGCTCGACTTTATTTTTAAAAATAGTAAGTTCATAATTATGGCGAGATATAATTGTTATTAATTTCATAATTTATTAAAGTCCTAAGTCTAAGCCATGGAGAAATATTTCGAATTTTATTTCGGAAACAAAATAAAACTTTTACTCTAAGTCTCGATTTATTATTTTAATCGAGTATTAGAAAAGTCGAGAATTTAATTAAATTCTGAGTCGAGCCCTTCTATTCCGGCCCAAGTAGGCCCAATTATTTCGAGCCCATAATTCGGCCGACCAATTAATTTAGTCTTAGTCCGGTTAATATTAATCGAGCTCGAATATTTTATCTTCCTAAGTCAATGTTCAATTTTACTAGCCCGATTTTTAAAAGCCCAAGTCAAATTAAATTCAAGCCCAATTTAAAAGCCCATTAACAAACCAAACCCTAACTCTCTTCTCCCTTATAAATATCACACCATCCTCATTACCATTTACAAGAGGTCAAAACCCTAGCCCACCATCACATCCTCCATCTTCAAGCTCCAACTCCATAGCCATCAAAACCGGCCACATTCCGGCGATACCAAACTGCCGGCGAGCTCACACCACTGGCGACCCGACCTTCACGCAGGCAGCCACGGTTCCAGCCCCAACCGAGCCAAGTCGCGCCTCCGCAGCTCATGTCTCCTTCACGCCGGCGAGTCGCCGTCGTTCCCAGCTCCGGCGACCTCCCTCCCTCCAGCAAGCAGCTCAAGTACCGAGCACGTTGTTTCACGCCGCCGTCGCCGTCCTTCCACCTCCACACCTTCGCTGGCAGAACCGAGCAGCTCGCACCTTCACGCCACCCGTTTTCCGGCAAGCCCGTTCGTGCCCCGCCGGTCAAAGCTCGTCTTTTCGAGCTGAGCCACGTTGCCGGCGAACCAGTCAAACACGCCGCCGTCCCAGCTCACCCAGCTCAGCTCCATCGCCGTTTCCAGCTCCAGCGACCACCACCTTCCCGCCGGCGAGCTCACCTCGCGCAGGTCCAACTGCAGCCGTCCGTACACGCCGGTTCCAGCTCCGTTCCGACGAGCTCACGGCCTCCGTGTGCGAGCCGACCCACGTGACGTCAAACCCGAGCCGTACGCGTTCCGATCTGTTCCAGCTGCACCAGAACCGAGCCCTTAGCAACCGATCCGCAGCAGGTTCCAGTCCACAGCCCCAGACCCGAGCCGAACCCGATTCCTAGCAACCCGAGCATACCATCTTTCGATTTTCGTTTCGAGTTGTTTTTGAGGTATATTAGCTAAATATCCAACTCCATGGCCTTAGATGTGAATCATAGTTAATTTTAAAGATGATAAGTGATTATTTTATGCTTGATCTGATTTTATAGGAATTTATTAGATTAAATGGCTATAACTCGTTAATTATTGATGGCTGATCTGAAAGATGCGAATCCAATTTGATAAACCCTATCTAGATGTCTTGAGGCATAGGTTTTAATTTCGTTAATTTTGGAGTCGGTTTGCTATATAAACAGGATTTTAGGAGCTAGAGCGGAAATGCGTTGAATGAGTTAGAGACTTGGTTTTGCTGATTTAGGATTCCCATAAATCATATAAATGCTAGAGTAAGTGGTTATAATTTCATTTTTGGATGTCGTTTGATATAGTTTAAAATTCATGGTTATAATTTCATTTTTGGATGTCGTTTGATATAGGTTAAAATTCAGGACTTTAGCCTCATTTTGCGATAATTCTAGAAAATTAGCCCGGTTGTGATACGTAAAATCTTGATAAATCACATAGAACTTAGGATTTAAATATCAGCTTAAAATGAGTTAGATTATTCGGAGAACAATACCCTAGTTTTATCCGGTTCGGATACTCAGGTAAATTCTAAATCCGAGTATAATTGCCGGAACTCTAGTTCCGTTTAAACAACTTTAGACGTTATAATTGCATCATTGTATGCTTATATAGTTATATTATCTCCCTTTTCTTTTTCTCATATGAACTAAAGCAGTGGAATTGCATGCATCTAACTATCTAAGGATTGATATGTTTTAGTTTTCCATCATTATTTAGCTGATTGGTATTTACAATTTATCCTGTTAAACTTGTGATTGAGTTTGGAAGTTGGATACTTAGATTTTGTTATCCTTAGTTAAACTTGTGATTGAATTTAGAAGTTGAATACTTGGATTTTGTTATCCAGTTAAGCTTATATTGTTGTTCACTTATTAGTTATTTGTTAAGCCTTAGGCCTGTTATTTGGATGTGGTGTGCTTGCTGCTTTATTATTATTTTTTTCTTCCTGTATGCCCAAGCAGAAGACTCTGGTTTTGTTTTTTTGTTTTTTTATTCCTCTGAACAGTAACTTCGGTTTTTTTCGGTTCTTATCGGTTTCGGTTTGAATGTTAGTAAAATTGAAACTTATCGGTTCGGTTTCGGCTTCATGCGTTGCCCTTTTCAACTTCTTAGCTGCATTAGTTTCTAAATAAATGCTAAGTTTATTTCTCAACCCTTATTTTTGTCTCATAATCTTCTTCACATTATACTTAGAATTAACTTGCCCATCAGACAATAGTTTGAATTTTGAATCCTGGTATCCTTTGACTCCTACTCCCTTGGTTGTAGGCCCCTTGTCAGAATCTACATGGAGAAAACCAGAGAATCTACATGGAGAAAACCAGAAAACCAAGTGGAAAGTGCTCAAAGTTTTAGATGGAGAGCAAAACACGACCTCGATCGATAGGCTCAGCAGCTTGCCGGACGACGTCATATGCCACATTCTCTCTTCTCTCCCGACAAAGCTCTCAATGGCCACAAGTGTTCTCGGAGAAAGATGGAGGTTTCTACGCGCTCATGTACCCTGCTTGCATTTCAGTGATGACGATTTCAGGAAAGAAGGTTTCTGGGAAGAAGAAACACAAGCCTCGGATGATTTTAGGGAAGAAGGAACACAAGCCTCAGACATCATGAGCAGGGGTTATATTGCTGCCTTGTTAAAGTAAGAATGTATACTTTAACATTCTCTTGCGTCAAATACGAGTATCAACTAGAGACATAGATTACAACCGTAGTATCCGGAATCTTTATTTTCAACTTGGCTTCATTACATTCCCTCGATCCCTCGTCAACTGCAAAACCATTATTGTCGACTTGTGCATATAAATAATAAATGAAAAAGATAACAAACCTCAATTATCGTCGTCATAATTTTTGCCTTCGTTGAAATTCAATATGGCCACGACTCTCCTCATACCATTCACTTGTACGTATGGTGAAATTCCTCTCACCTTCAAATACTTCAAGTGGCATTGCATTAACTAGCTCGGGTATCTCATAGTTAAGATTATATTTTTTATACTTCACTATCAATTTCGACAATTTTCCCCAATTTACAACTAAACTGTCAACCCACTTAGGGACCCGATGTAAAAGGTTAATATTCGAGTAAATAGCGAGTTGTAAGTATGACGTTGAACCTCAATGCCTCCGAAAAGATAGTGATGAAACATAAAAAAATGTCCGACATTGTTTTATCCGTGTCGGGGTTGGTTTCATATGTATTCAACCTATCCATGTCATCGATCAAGTATAATCTATTCGGATAGTTAAGTTGAGTTTGACTTAAACCTCCATAGTTGAATGATAGATTGAGAAAAGTCGAATTATCAATTAAATGAGTTGTTTGATCCATGGATTTCGCAACTCCATGCGGCCAGTTTTACTTTCTACACCAATAAAATAAAGATCCGATCTTCTAAAGATAATAAGAATCGGTACTTTGTCTGTATGTTACAGTTTGATGTTTATAAATTTGTTTCTCAAAAATTTTTGGCCGTTGCACAGTGAGTATAGTATTGTTGCACAACTCCAATTCCACACCACGCCTAATATGAGCTAAGAGAGTTTGGTAGCTAGGCTCAAATTTGTTAGTCAAATCAAATTCATATTTAGAAAATGATTCAAATTGTTTGTGGCTTTTAGATCCTGACATTGCAATGCTGCAAACAATTTGAATCATATTCTGAATATGAATTTGATTTGACTAACGAATTTGAGTCTAGCTACCAAGCTCTCTTAGCTGATATTAGGCGTGGTGTTGGATTGGAGTCGTGCACAATACTGTACTCACTGTGTAGCAGTCAAAAAATTTGAAAAATAAATTTTTTAACATCAAATTGTGGCATACAGGTAAAGAACCGATTCTTATTATCTTTATAAGATTAGATCTCTATTTTGTTGTTGTAGAAAGTAAAATTGGTCAAATGGAGTTGCGAGATTCTATGGATCAAACAACTGATTTAATTGATGATTCTACGTTTCTCAATCTATCATTCAGCTATGGAGGTTTGAGTCAAACCTAACCTAGCTTTCTAAATAAATTATATTTGATCGATGTGAGGGATAAGTTGAATACATATGAACCCAATCTTGATACGGATAGAACAATGTCGCACATTTTTTTATGTTCCGTCATTATCTTTTCGGAGGCATTGAGGTTCGGTATCATACTCTTGACGCTCAACTCGAATATTAACTTTTTACACCGGGTCTTTAAATAGGTTACAGTTAGGTTGTAAATTCGGGAAAATTATCAAAATTGATAGTGAAGTATAAGAAATATAATCGTAACTATGAGGTACTCGAGCTGGTTAATGTTGTGCCATTTGAAGGTGAGAGGAAGTAGTCGTGACCATATTGAATTTCAACGAAGGCAAAATTTATGACGACGATAATTGAGATTTGCTATTTTTTCCATTTATTATTTATATGCACATTACTGTAATTGATCATATCGTTGATAACCGTAGAGTGTCACTCTCTGCTCAAGAAGTTTTATGTTTCTAATCTTTTGTGCGAGAATGATGATGCGCTTCCTCGCTTTCTTTCCGGCTGTCCGTCGCTCGATGAGTTGAATATGGCAATCTGCTTTCGATATGATTATGTCACCTGCATAAATATATCATCACCCACTATAAAGATACTTATGCTCGATATTGACTATTTGTTTGGTCCACCTAACACTGAAGATAGGATGATAATAAATGCCCCGACACTTAGGTATCTCCAAGTGCATGGCTATGGTTTTCCTTTGGAATGGATGACAATTCCTATAACCATGAACTCCTTAGTTGAGGCGGATATCCACATCGTTCGTTCTTACATGTCAAAATGGATTGCAATTCCATGGAGGTGAAGTTTCTTCATTCTCTGTGTTATATGAAGTGCCTAAAGATATCATATCAGGTTGGAAACTTGAGGAGGTATGTTTTGAATCTTCAATCTCTTAGGCCTCTTGTCAATTAGTTTTCAGCTTTGGTGTTATATATATATTCGTAATGTGGTGTTAATTTTTTCACTTAAGAGGAGTTTCTTGTTCAACTGTAAAGTTTGATAATTTAACCAAACTTCAACTCCCATTGAACTTCCAATGGAGTTTGCTTGTAAAGTTTCTTGAAATTGCTGACGATCTTGAAGTCCTTGTTGTAAGTCGAGTTTATCATTCATGCAATTATACCCACCCTTGTTGAATTAGTAGCTGCTCATTTACTAGCAAGTACAAGAGAAATTGATTGAAAAACTCCCAAGTGTTATGTTCAGTCTTACTTTATAAGTACATTTTATAGAAAGTGTTATATTCAGTCTTACTTTATAAGTACATTTTATACAAAGTGTTATATTCATCTGTTCTTTAAGGTGTTCTTTAAGGTGATTTGACTGGAGTCTTTTGATTGGATAGTTCAGTTTGGGATTTTCCAAAGAAAGGTGACAAATTTAATTGTTCTGTCCCCTAAATTATAATTTATAATTTTGTTTCATTCCTTGGGTGATGACTTTTTCTTTGTGTAGTTCCGTTTCTTATTTACAGTATTTGTTGGGAGGTTATATGTGAATTATTGCAAGGATATCATTAACTTTTGTGCATTTTTGTGCTGATCTGAACAGTTTTTTGAAACTTATGGGGGCTCAATTAACATATTAGCATCTATTTGTGTTGTAATTGCAATAGAGAACGAGCGTGTTATTCTGGTTTGGTTCTTATTATTTGAGATGGACTTACCTATATGATGCTTTTCATAAGAACAATATGCATATACCTGTATATGGTTGTAATTCAGTTCATGATCTATTGTCCATGGAAATATTTGTTAAAGAAACTAAAACATTTTTATAGGTCTTTAGAAGTGTGAAAACAATGCAATAATATATAACAAGCAAACATCCTTTTTGTTTTGGAGTCTAATGTGTTATGTTTATTATTTTATTTATTTATTTATTTTAAAAAAAAAGAGGGAGTTGCTGGGCTTTCTCAACGGTTGCAGCTATTGAAGGTGTAAATAAGATATCAACTGGGGACTTGAAAGTCTTGTCCGAGCAATAACTTTGAATTGGAGTGTTGGAACCTTTGCTCATTAATCTTTCCATTTCGAAAGAACCTGGTTTATTTATCCTTGGATTATTGTAAATAATTCCTGCTACTTTTTGTTTCTTCTGCCTTGTCTATCTCTGCAATAGACATTTGGAGGAGTCATGATGTTTCGATTTAGTCTTGGATTTGCTTGTGTATATGATTCTAAAAGGTTTCTTGTTAGCTTGAATTTGAAGGAATTTCTGTTAATTTTTCGAAGTTTGAAGTGGAATTAAAGACACAAAAGAAAAAAAAAAAAGAACTATTGGATGATCAACACAAAATGTTATAGTTCTTAAGTATTCAAGTGATGATTGTCTTTGGAGATCGTGTTATGTTGCTGGGGTAGGACTAAGGCTACTTCCGGTTGAAGGTGAATAAGATACTCTATTTTTTTTTCTTTTCTTTCCTTTCCTTTTTGCTCTTTCTATTCTAGACTAGTCTTTATACTATGTTGTATGTCTTGTCTGCGTAGTTGATTCTTCAATTTGCAGAGTTTATTTTATATTACAGTGCAAAGACACTTTGTCATTACACAATTTTGTGGATTGGTGGAGATGGAAACTGGCAAATGTGGGGGTGAAGTGGAAGTTGGAATGTTTTTCAACTATGAAATTATTAGGTTCGATAATTTAACCGAAAAAAAAAAATAACCAAACTTGATTCGGTACTGCTTGTTTTTTTTCCCAAAGAGCCTTGGTAACCTTGGCATATTTATCGCCTCCTATGGTTTTTTGGTCGCAATGCAAGATTTTACCGTTATGTGCAACGCCTACAGTTTCTTACTTTATAGTATTGAGTTTGGGATTGTTTTCATCGGCTTGTGGATGAATGTCATAAAATCATCCTTCATCCTTATATATAATTACCGAATGCGTTAAGTAGGTTCTCACGTTTCGAAATTCTATATGGCAAAAAATCATAATTTGGAGTCAGGTTTAGATATAAATTAATATTTTTTGTACAAAATTAATTAGTCTTGGATTTAATTTAGTGACTATTATTTATATTAAAACTATGATTGATTTTTGCCTTATTTTCTTCTACAATTTGTTACCATAAATTATTTTATGTTCCCATTTACTACATCATTACATTTTCTTTTCTTATTTAATTGATAAATTGGTTATTTATAGTTTATTCTTCTTATTCTTAAATTTTTTTTTTTTTGTATTTTATGATATTTCAAATTAATTATCTTTTAACAATCTTCGATTTGACATTCATATTATATATATATATATATATATATATAATACAAAACACTGATATATATATTTATAAAGAAAATTTAAATTTATTTATCAAACTAAATTACAAAATAAACTATAAATTTTCTTATAAAGTAATAGAAATTTATGTGTATTAATATACCAATAGTTATTTTATTTGAAAAAAAAATATATAAACCAACTATGAACATCAAATTAATATAAAAAAATATTCTATGATTTATGTCTCAACATAAATAAAGACTACATAGAGAGTGAACATTATAATGATCTTACAAAAAAACTAAATAAACATTAATTATAATAAAATAATTATTATTTTATTTCATAAAGTTTAATCTCATACACATTATATTTTAAATTGTTTGAATATTGTAAAGTTAAAGATATTTTAAAAATATTAGATGAAGGAAGGAAATTGTATAAATATCAAATATAATTACAATATAATCAAACTTGAAAAAAAATTAAATTAATTTAAAATTAAATTATTGAGTTGTAAATAATATATATATATGTGTGTGTGTGTGTGTGTGGGTGTGTGTGTGTGTGCATGTGTGTGCTCATGTGTGTGTGTGTGTGTTTGCGCGTGTGCGTGTGTGTGGTTAAAAAATTATCATTTCGACAAATCGAGTATAAAACATGGTTATTATTTTAAATATTAACTTTATTATTTTTTAATTATTAGTTTTATTTTTTATTTTTTATCATTCTATTATAATAACATAAATTTTTTCACTTCTTTATTTTGATAAAAATATTTAATATTCACGCACCTGTATTGTTCACGAGCGTTATATTAACTGACGAATAAATTAACTATTATTTTTAATTTAATAGAAACAAATATATATTAAATAAAACAAACAATACTTCCTAAAAATATTTTCTAGAGTTCGAAAGAATATTTAAGAACTACTTCCTTACTAATTATTTATAACTTTTTTATTTTATAATAAGAAATTTAATTTTTTTCTTTTTTTGTTGAACAAATAGTTTTTTTTTATAAAACACTCATATAGTTCACGGACATTGTACTAATAATAAAATATAGCTACATTCCTCATGGGCTCCCATATAAATTTATACAAATTGGGTTTCGTTCTCCACTTCAAAGTTTTGCTTAGACTAGTGCAACAAACTTGAGCTAATCTAATTATCAGCCACAATTATCACCACATGTTTCTCCTCTTCCCGCACATAACCTCATTTGTGAGATTGAGATGGTTACAGGTTGATACATTTTACCAGCACATGCACCCAAACAAGAATAACTCCTCTGATTTCGCTCGTGAAACCTAACATGATCAATAAACTAATGATTCGGTAGAAATTGCAAAAATATCTGACGACGAAAACAAAGACTGGGAATACTTAAAAACATGGAGTTGACTATAGTACAGTTTACACCAACCAAAATGCCTGAGGGGTTTGAGTAAAGACTCTTCACTAAAGTTGCAATCAAGATGATGGCCAAAATGGATCCAAAAGCAAGGCTCTCGGATTTAGCTATTTGATGTGGTAATTAGTTATACAATGCATGCATTCAATTCCTTGTAGTTGTTGTACGTCAAAGAATATTGGATTTGTGCTTCCGAGTCCAGGGTGCATTATATAAGACGAGCCCAGCCATAAGAATCATGGACCCAACTAGGAAGGATGGGCTCAAGTTTACACCTCTAGGAAGGTATGGCAGTGGGAGGGAAAGAACCAAAATAGCAATTGGCACTACAAAAGATTAATTAATTAACTTATTAAATGAATAAATAAATAAAACATATTATTAAGGTGTGTATATGTGTGTCTGTGTGTGTTAGAGTGTGTGTGGGTGTGGGTGTGTGTGTTAGAGTGTGTGTGTGTGTGTGTGTGTGAGAGAGAGAGAGAGAGAGAGAGAGAGAGAGAGAGAGAGAGAGAGAGAGAGAGAGAGAGAGAGAGAGAGAGAGAGAGAGAGAGAGAGAGAGAGAGAGAGAGAGAGAGAGAGAGAGAGAGAGAGAGAGAGAGAGAGAGAGAGAGAGAGAGAGAGAGAGAGAGAGAGAGAGAGAGAGAGAGAGAGAGAGAGAGAGAGAGAGAGAGAGAGAGAGAGAGAGAGAGAGAGAGAGAGAGAGAGAGAGAGAGAGAGAGAGAGAGAGAGAGAGAGAGAGAGAGAGAGAGAGAGAGAGAGAGAGAGAGAGAGAGAGAGAGAGAGAGAGAGAGAGAGAGAGAGAGAGAGAGAGAGAGAGAGAGAGAGAGAGAGAGAGAGAGAGAGAGAGAGAGAGAGAGAGAGAGAGACCTGAAGCCCTTGAAGCAAGAGAAGCAACAATTGCATTTGAGGCTTTGAGAAGATTGAGAATAGAGATGTTGAAAAGGAGGTTTGACATTATGTAAAGAAGGGGAAGCAGTGGAGCTCCATCACACCCTGAAGAAAATAATACCGTTATGCTTAAAAAGGTCATCAGACCCACAAATTTCATCTCTATTGGATTGAAGAATGTCCATATACCATTTATTGCCAACTTCGAAATATTTTTCCCAACACATCTCATGCTAGCATGAAAAACTAGTTTGTAGGTGTAACCAGTCAGTTTTCAAGGACTGAAAATAAGAGGAATATTATAAATATTATTGCATTGTCTTAATTGAAAAGAAATCAAGTTATCTTTTCAAGCTACAAATACCCTATCTACATTTGTTTCTCAGATGTCGCCACAAACTTCAAGGGGTTCTTTGCAATTTCTGAGATAACTGAAGCATATACTTGAATCAAATCTAAACGTTCAAATGAAGATCCTACCTGTTGTATTGGTTCCGATGTTCAAGAAGCAACCAACACCACTTTTGAAGTAGGAAGGCAGTTCAGATATAGGTATGCCCTTCAAGTTTGACAGAATTGGCAAAAGAAGGAGTATGAAAAGGGCCTATAAGTTCAGAAAGACAATATACGTGTTCAGAAATACAGCATGTAGCGAATTTAAGAAATCAAAATATGAGATTATACAAGGTTATTTATTATAAAGGAATATTTGGCAACCAAAAAATGCCCGTAGAAATACTATGACAATCCATTTCTACAATTGGTTCACCTTCATTATTTTTCATATGATAAACCTTTTTTTCAAAGAAGAAAGGATGGCAGTAGATTTATAAGGTGACTTGGTAAGCCATTTCTGGTCTCATAATAGAAGATATTTATAGCAAATATTAAATGGTCATGGGTCAAGTCTACTAATGAGACTGAGTCACTTAAATGACAATTAGATACCAGAAACAATTTGCTGAAAAAGCAAAGCAGATAAACTCGAGCCCAGAGATTCATTTTCTGTATTTGGATGGACAAATACTAAATTATATATGTGTGTGTCTGGACAGAAGTCGTGTCATTACCTGAAATCCAGATCCAAAGGAACTAACAATGAAAACGTCCAACGGTTTTCCCTGTATCAAAAGAAGATTTATTCAATCTCCAACTTGTGAACTAATTCTTGGACAGTACCATGAGTTTCAGATAAGCAAAACAGAAAGCGAGGCAATTTAAAATACTGCTTGTATGTATGCACCTTAAGACGTGTTCTGGCACCAACGAACACAGATTCCTACAAAGGTCAAGCATTCTTAATAGTAAGCTTCCTAATTTGTAAAGGACACAATTTGACAACGACCCACGACATCACCTTAACAATAGATGCACCTGCTTGAAATGCACTTGAAGCAATCATGACCATTGGCCACAAAGGTCCAATTCCAGAAAGCATCTGACCATTGTTTCCTCCACTGCCCAAGAGATAGCAGGACATGATTGAACATAAAGTTTAATATGAAACTAGATATCTACGGGAAGATAAGTCAGATAATTGGTTACCACAGAAGTTCCATGGAATGGAGTAACTAAACTTTTTATTTTTCTTCATAATGAAAAACTAGAATTTACCTTCAACATAGATCAAATGGCAGAGTTTTCAGGAATGACAACGTGAAGATAACTCTCTTTGATTGAACAGATTGAGAAAAGACTTGGTTCAAGTCATGAATCATGATGCATAGAAACAATTACCACCATGAACTTATTCATAACGGGGAATAAAAGAGAGATAATTTGATATCATTATTACCCACCTCAATTTATAAGTTTAGCATGTTGTCTCAAGCAAAAGGAAGACGATTGTGAATGCACATTTGCAAAGTCATTGCAAAAATCACTCCTTACAATGATAAAAAGGAAGTATTACCTCGTAACAGCCACTATGACACCCGCTGCCACAAGAAAGCATCCCAAGATCTGGTTCAGAGAGTACCTTCTCCCCAAGAAGCAGCTAGAAAAAATCAGCTGCCACACCAGGAATGTCTGCACACACTAGCGAGGATTATGGTTTCCTTCTACAAGTATCAAACAACCAAAGAGGATTTTTCTTTCATGCCTTTTCCGATTATAACTCCAAAATAGGAATCACATAATACTCAACTCAAATAACACAATGGGTATTCAACTACTTGAAATGAAAATCAAAGGCCAGATAGTATTCAAGCCAATATTTATTTCCCCTACTTACGTTTAAAACAGAAAAAATAAAAATAAAATAAATATAATATAACATGTTCAACTGGACGTATGAGAATCTGATGGAGAAATAACAAAGAAAAGAATCAAGCATATAACACAGCCCAGTGCATAACCAAATCCTAAATCCACTCTCCAGATAATCCACAGTCACAAAACTAACATAAAGGCCCTAAAAGATAAACATGTGGCGTAAAACAATGACACTTCTGTCAGAATAGTTCCAGCGTGCAACTAGAGGTCACAAATATCAATTTAAAGTTTACGAACTTGTTAGGTGAACACAAATACAACATAGAAAGACAGTATAACCAGATTGACATTTCTTGTAGATTAAGGTTGTTATACCACATGGAACATTTTGAACTGGAAGTCTTTAACAAGACATCTATATTGAAATGAAAAAAATTAATAAAGGGTGTAGCTGTAAAATCTGTTTCTAAAACATTCCTTTCTGAAAGACCATAATTTGGAGAATATATTATATAAGCAAACAGTATCAACAATATGTTTGCTCATCTCCTCATCCTAAACAAAAATGATCCCTGAATCAAAGCTCTTCCCCTGTTTACAAATCATCATGGGATTCTCATGTTTAAGATTCTGATGAATCATAAATAACAATAATGAACAGGATTTCCACACCCTATAAATACTTAGTTAGATCAATTTAAGACTTCGTATAATCCTACTTAATCATCATTTAATGGCCCATCAATAAACTCCTATTGATGATCCATAAGTAACAAGGTTACAACTCGTAAATTAATGTTGGATGAACTGATATTTATCTTGGTAATTTGGTACGTTGGAGGACTTTGATAACATGATTTGCATTTTTAGTTCCACTCAGCAAACAATCCTACATGCCATGAGTAGAAAGCATGAGCAACTAAACAGAACAATATTGTATCAAAGCAAGTGATGAACATGCCATTCATAAATCCATTCATTTATAGTCCAGTAAGATATACTATGGCAGATAATAGAACTGCGAGTGTAAATAGTAAATAGAAAAACAATTCAAAGCTAAAACGAGATGTACAAAAACAATTAATCAACAGCATATTCCAAACACCTACAGCTTATGAGAGAATTTAAATGAACACGGTCCAAAATACATTGAAATTAAAAAAACAAAAAAAATAAAACTTGACCTGGTAGAGTAAGGGTATAGCTGGTCCTGGAAGAATGGCTGCAAATGATACATGTTAACAGTAAAAGGATGCCATAGAAAGGAAAGGTTGATTTATCTTCAGTCATAAAATGAACTGTGGCTTTTGATTTACTATGTTGGTCTCAAATGAAGCATTCAGACTACTGCCACCTATTAATTCATGGATTACCTTCGCGGCTCGAAAAGAAAAAGAGAAGTAGATAAAAAGAAAACAGGAGACGAAGCACAAGGAGAGAGCAAGAGAACAATAAATATAATCCGAAGTGACTTATAGTTTGTAAAGCACAATCTAATGAATCAGTTTCAGTCTTTGGATTATTTTATCTGAATGGTGATTCTTAAAACATGAATAGAGATAAGCATGGTACCTCCAGCATACATCGCAGATAGAAGAGAAATTGATTCAAGAAACCCAATCGCAATAAAGGGTGATTTTGGGAGGGCTAGCATCTCATCAGTTGTTATACCCGTACGATATCTCAGGCAGAGCACAGTAAAATAAACAGCCACATACCTGTAGCAAAAAAAGCAAAAAGTTACTGGAATATCCATTCCAAAACAAGTAACAACCACAACATCTCTCTATTGGTAGCTAGCAAACCTGAATACCTATGATCATAAGAAGAGATAAAGAATTGTAAGCGACTTATTAACTTGGAGCATCTTCACCCACTTGAACTGAAAGTTCCTTATGTACCATCATTTATTAATGTTCTAGCTTTCATGTAATTGAATTATAAAGTTCCCATTTGGCCATATGTATGGAATCTGAAATCGAATGCGAGGGAAGACCCTGATATTTAAAGCTAATTCTAAAAGTACCTTGTATTTACAATAAGTCTCACTTGCACGCGCGAATCTATCTCTATAAATGGTTTGCTGCCTCGAGAGCACTCTGAACAAAATTTTTATTTTGACTCTTCTGTGGGGTTCGGGGAAACTTTCATTAGATGGAAAATCGTGTTCCAGTTGATCATTGGCAACATGTAAATAAATTCTTTTAAAAACCTTCAAACTGAGATAGACATTCATGGAGTTTACAGTTTCCAAGTACATTTTGTGTGGAACTTATACCTATTTAGCTACCTCTCTTAGACTGCACACTGAATACTGGCATAATCATTTTGTAAGAAAGAGATACTGGGTGCAGAAATGAGGTTCTCTTCAAAATAAATAGTCTCCCATGGCATACCCTTTTACATCGCAAAGGATCCATATCAATGGGCATATTTTCCCCATATTTGAATGGATGACCTGGTTCTCTTTCATAGACAAGTTCCAAAAACGGATGCAAGTTTCATTTATATTAAACGGCCTACCCTAGAATATACTATACGGATCACCTCCTCAAATAGGTAGAAAAGCTAGCACCATATTATGATACTCAAATATGCAACAATTTCGCATAAACTCATTAAGACTCAGTCAAATTCATAAAATTATAAGTAGAATTGATCAAATCTATAAGAATAAAGATTCTGAACCTACGTGAAACTGTTGAATTGAGCGAGAAAAAATGGGTACTCCTTCATCGGGACAAGAGCAAGTTTCTGCAACACGCGAGTTGAGACTGCAAGTAACATAGTTGTGGCAGACCAAGCAACCACCGCAAGCTTTTTATCGGTATCAAGATTAGACGGTTGATGGCCATCGGCCGATGAAGTCTCGGCTAAAGCAGATGGCACAAAATGTTGAAATCTACTAATAACTTTCTTTCTATTGTTCAAACCACTGTGAAAGAATGAGAGCTTAAAATCATTATTCACAGATGATTTTAAAGGATTTAGACGCAGTTGGAGTGGTTTTGGACATAATCCTACCCCAAAGGCGCCATTTTGATTACCACAATTGATGGTAGTCGGGTAAAAGCTGCGAGCAGCAGGTCTGAGGCTGAGCAAATTCATGAATGCAAGAAGAAGAATATACAAAGAGAACTGAAAAATTGCACCAAATTCAACATTTGAAAGGAGAACAAAGACAAATCAACAAAACAATGCAGACCATGCCGCAGGTTTAAATACGAAATTAGTCAACTGCAACATGCATAAGAATATGAATAGTTCGTTGAAATCAAAAAATTACTAATTAACTGTAACCTAAAACGTCAAAGACGAACTAACGAAGAAGCAATGCTGAGATAAAAAGGTTTTACCGAGATCTGGAGGGAGAGAATACAAAATCAGCTCTCGAGGATTAATGCGTTATCAGTTTCTCGCCCAACTCCATTGTGGCTATACTATTTCCTCAGAGATAAAAGATAGCGCACCGGAAATGGCTCCGGCGGTGGATATTTTCGCCATTTCGATCGGCATTTGAGCTGAACCGGTCCGGATTGGGGATCGTCCTCACCCTCAGCTGCGAGACAAATTATAAATTTTTGTTACCGTTGTTTTGGGGAACGTTCAATTATTTTTAACCAACCTTTTATTTCAACTTAAATCCAACTCAATTTCACTATTCTCAATATTATCAATATAATTAAATAATATTAATAAATTATTCTTACATAGGCAAAATTACAATTTAATACACCACCTTTCACAGTTTTGCATTTTAATCACCACCTTTGGGAATTGACAATTTAATCACGAGCCTTTTCCTTTTTTGCAAAACGAACCACAATTCACGGTGCCGTTTACAGAGTGCTGACTTGGAAGTGACGGAAATTTTGAGGGGTTGATGTGGCCATGCTGGAATAAACGGTGTCGTTCGCACATAGCATATATCATGAATGTTGTTGCAAAATTCCTCATTTTCGATCCACATAAACCCTAATTCCCAACTAAATCCTCTCAAACTCACCTGCAACAATATCGTCTGATTCGAGCTATACTCGGCGTGTAGTGTGCTTCCATGGATTGATTGCAAATGTGTTGACTTCAAACACAGACAAGAACCCATCACGGCGATATTACAGATGTCCAAATGAAGATGTAAGCTTTTTCGATTTCGATAGTATAATGGCTCGATGTGCTTGCATATGAGAGTATGTTTATTTGGGGAAGATCGAACCATTGAATTTGGCAATTTTTGAAGATTTTACAAATGAAAATTAGGGCTATTTGATTTGGTAGACTTTTGTAATATTGTTGATTTTGCATTTGAAAATTAGGACATTTGACTCGAAAAATTAGGGCATTTAAAATTGTTTATTTTTGTAAATTAGGGCATTTGAAAATTGGGGCATTGTTGATTTGACTCTAAAACTGGAAGCCTGAATTTGACAATTTTTGAAGATTTTACAAATGAAAATTAGGGCATTTGACTCGGAAAATTAGGGCATTTAAAATTATTGATTTTTGTACATTAGGGCATTTGAAAATTAAGGCATTGTTGATTTGACTCTGAAACTAGAAGTCTGAATTTAACTGAAAAGTTTGTATAGACAGTGATCTTGAGTATGTTTGCCTTCCTTTTAGTGTCTTATTTTTTTGCAATTGATGAAGAATTTTCTTATGCCTTCATTCTGAGAGTTCTGAGAGTTTGCCTTCCTTTAGGATGAGAAATGTAAGTTCTTTCAATGGGTTGATGAAGAATTACCTCCATTCCAAAAGGCTAGATTTTTGAAGTTGAAGTCTCAGAATAATCTGTTGGAGGAGCAATTAAAGTGCACAAAATATTCTGAGAGTTTGCTTGCTGAGAAGCTAGAATTGAAGGAGAATGAAATTATTAGGCTACAAAACAAGCTCGATGATTTGGAGAAGACCATTGCACAGCTAGAATTGAAGGAGAATGAAATGTTTAGGCTGCAAAACAAGAATGAAGATTTGGAGAAGACCATTCATGCCATGTGCAAGCTACAAAACAAGAATGAAGAGCTGGAGAAGGCCATTCATGCAATACGCAAGAGAAAGAAGATTGAGAGAAAATTGATTTTGTTAGTTTTAGTTTTTTGTGTGGCTATGTATTGGAATGGAGTTGGAAATGGAAATGGTAGACTGATGCTTAAATAGACAGTGTTGGTTTTGTATTATGGTTGGTAAATGTTGGTTTTGTATTATTATGGTTGGTAGATGTTGGTTTTGTCTTATGGCAGGTATGTGTTGGTTTTGGAAAAGGTAGATTGAATTTGTATGATACTATTATGTAATGGAATTGGCAGACTGAAGTTCTAAAGTAAGTTGTATGCTATGTGAAGTTGTATGATGCTATTATGTCAAGTTGTATTCTATGTGAAGTTGTATGCTATCAGACTGAAATCATGTTGCTAAACAATAGCTACATGATTTCCTTTTAATCATGTAGACAACCTGATATCAAGAACCCAAAATAAAAGCAAGAAATGCAAATTATGGCTGCCTAAAACATACACACCAAAATATCCAACATATCCAACATACCAAAATCTCAAACATATCCAATATATCAAGATAGATATTTCACTTCAAACTAATATCCAATATCCAGCATACACCAAAGAGAATTCTTATCACAAATTTATACTTCAAAATACCAAGTACACAACCAAGTACAACAAAAGGTTCACCAATGCAAATTAGGTTTCAAAATCAAGTCCACAACTACTTCAATCCATAATCAGACAAAACTACTTATTAGCCACACTCTCTTGAGTGCCTGAAATAGAACAATCTTGAATTTTCTTTGATCGGCTCCTGGTACTAGGACTACCAACAGAGTTCTTGGATGGACTCTTTGTACTAGGACCACCAACAGAGTTCTTGGATCGACTCCTGGTATTAGGACCACCAACAGAGTTCTTGGATCGGCTCCTGGTACTAGGACCACCAACAGGGTTCACCAAGCGCACTCTTTTGTCACTTGACATCTGCAAATATATTAGCATTCAACTTAATTGAAATGGACACAACATATCTATTAAGATGAAGTAAATAATAGCTAACCCTCATGTAAGTCGATCCTGTCTCTTTAGAAACAAACACACCATATCCCTTCTTTGCCTGAAATAAAATATACACATGAATATAGTGAATCGGTTTGTAAGTCAATTTAAACAGTTTAAATATACCAGTGCTCTATCTTTCATTGTTTGAGCTATGTGGATTTCATTTTCTTGTGTTGGATTTTTTCTCTTTCTCCCTGTTTCTTGTGTTGGAGGTGCAGTTAAGTGGCTATAGTCCTGTGTTGGAGGTGAAGCTATGTGGCCACTGCCTTGTGTTGGAGGGACAACTAGTACATTCTCAGACCCACTAGGCAATGCATGTATCCTTGGTCTACCTCTCTTTGCCTAACAATGCAAATAAAAGTGTGAATAATTTATTAACACACACAAAATATTGAACAAAATAAAATGCACCATATAGCTTCTGAGGCTTGGGTGCAGCTTCATTTTTGCAGCTTCTCTTGTTGTGTCCAACTTTCAAGCATCTTTGGCATCTCATTTGCAATCCAAAACGTTTCAAGGTTGTAGCATTCTTCTTCTCCTCTTCAGGGGCTTTTTTTCTTGCCATTTTAGGTCTCCCAGGCATTTTTTTGAATGGAGGTGGTCTCACTTTTGCCCCGGTTGCCTCAGGCCACATTTTCTTTCCATTCAAAGGTTCAAGTGAAAAAGAATAGGCCCTTAAATACCTCTCAAGGCTGAAGTAAGGATGTAAAAAGGTTGCCACATCTTTTTTCTGATAAACAATTGCAGAGCAGGCATGGGCACAAGGAATCCCAGAGATATCCCACTCTCTACAGGTGCAACTCATCTCCCTCAAGTCAACTACAAACTGATCTTCTGAAATTGCTACTTGAAACTTGTCACCCACAGCAGGCTTAGTATGGCACAATCTACTTTTGTACTTAGCCTCTTCAACCTTTTTCCTAATCCTAGGACAAAGCACATCACTCACAGCACTACCCAACATAAGTTTCTCATGGTGTCTTTCCATAACATAGGTTCTAATGACCTCAAGCATCTCCACAATTGGTTTTTTTCTAGCAGCTACAATGGTACTATTAAATGTCTCACACACATTGTTCAATATCATATCACACTTGGGTAACTCTGCAATAAAAGCCTTACAAAATCTAAAGGTTTCTTTGTCAAGTAAATCCTTACATGCATCTGGATCAGCCACATTCAACTCATCAACAGCTTCCTTGTAGGCTACCCGGTATGTGCTGTGCACTATTCTCCAATATAGGTCCTTCAATGTTTTCCTTGGGTACTTTTTTTTCCAATTCATATACACATGTCTAGCAAAGTTTCTGTGCTCAGCATGTGGTGTGAGTTCTTTGATAGCTGCAATCAGTCCCTACAAGTAGAAAATGGAACATAAATTAGAAAAAATATAACATAAATGCACACTGAACAAACATGAAGTGTACTAACCTTCTGTTGGTCACTAATGAATGTCCAACCCAAACCATCCTCTATTCTAAGCTCTTGAAACAGTATAGTCAAGAACCACCTCCAGTTGTCTTCATTCTTTGAGTCAACAACAGCCCAAGCCAAAGGATATATTTGGTTGTTCCCATCTTTTCCAACTACACACAAACAACACACCACCCAGAAATGTCTTAAGGAAGCAACCATCAAATCCAATTATTGGCCTACATCCTTGCAGAAACCCTTCCCTTAAAGCACTGAAGCCAATAAAGAAAGCCTTGAAAACATGTCCTTCTTCTAATAGCAGTTCAAATCTCCCATTTCTATCCACCCTCTGCAGCTCAGCAATATAATTTTTGAGGCACCCATAATGTTCTGATTCAGAGCCTCTAAGCATCTCAAGAGCTTTGTATTTTCATCTGTACAACTTCCATTTGGATGGTTGTACTCCAAACTTGTCCATAATGAGCTCCTTCATATCTGAGACCTTTATACTAGGCTGTTTCCTGAACTTTTCCAAATACTCAGTTGCTACCCACTCAGAAGTTGCTTGTCTGGTCCTAATGTCCCTAAAACAATTATGGTCTGACACTAATCTTTTGATGGCAACTCTACCCTCAGATTGTACCAAACTACCATACAATCTCCATGGACAAGGGTCAGTACACCTTGCTTGAACTTGCTTTTGACTAGTTCTCATGAATTGAATGTTACACCCATTGTGTATTGCATTTTTTCGTATTGCATTTTTCAACTGCATTACACTGTCAAATCTCATACCCAACACAAACTTCAGAGTACTGTGATCACACTTAGGGTCATAAACTACTAACTTCTTCTTAGAATTAGACACCCCAGTAGAATCATCGTCAACCTGTCCATGGTCAGAAATAGGTGAATCAGTGTTCACTGACCCATCAGAATCCTCATAATCAGGCTCTAAGTCTCTAACAACTGAACTTTCCTCAGTTTCTTCAGCCTTTTTGGATTTCTTATACATTACCCTATCCCTCCTTGCAGCAAGGTATTCCTCATCATCTGTTCCCAAATTATCATCAGAGAGTCCATCCTCACTAGAATAGTCATCAGACTCATCATTAGATGGAACATACTCATCATCATTTGAGCTTTCTTCAACATCATTAAAATTTCCATCCTCTGGAGGGATTGCAACACTTTGTACTGCATCTTCTGTTGCACATTTAGATGATTGTCCATTCTGTGCATTGTCTTTTCACTATCTGAGCATACATACATATAAACAAGTTTTTTAGAAGGAGGTAACAGGTTCAACATCTCCATGACCCCAGTGTCATCATGTATTTATTTGTATTCCTCTGAATTTGGAACCTTGTACAATATCTTATTCCACTCTTTACAACCCAACTTATCAATCTCTTCTACCAGATCAAAGAAACCAAATCTATCCAAGTCTAGTCCAGTAACTAAGTGAATATTATCACCAAAGAAATCCAAGAAACCATCAATATTAACCATGTACCCTCCGTAGTTGAAATAGATTGCGAAAGAATTACTGCAACATTATAAAGAAAGAGAACACATGTCACAGAACATCAAAATTAAATTAAATTCATGATTTAACTCGAAGTAATAATCATGGTTCAACAAATCTGTTGCCCATGCCAATTACTAAATCCGCAACACAAGAAACAAAAAAAACAAAAAAATACAGGCTCGAAGAATGGCCATTTGCATTCTCATATTCCGTTTCCAAAATATAGCCTACAACACCACAATTTCATCTCATATGGAATAATACAAGGGGATGAGCTGTACCTGTCGTCCATTACACACGAAATTTCTTCTCAGATGGGGCTTCGCCAATTCCTCGCGTCTGCAATTTTAGGATTTTCGAACATTTGAAATTAGGGATTTTGGAGTTTAGAAGGGAATTAGGGTTTTTAACTTGATTCACCTTTTAGCTAAGCCACGTCAATGCCACAACATGGCCACATCAACCCCTCAAAATTTCCGTCACTTCCAAGTCAGCACTCTATAAACGGCACCGTGAATTGTGGTTCGTTTTGCAAAAAAAAGGAAAAGGCTCGTGATTAAATTGCCAATTCCCAAAGGTGGTGATTAAAATGCAAAACTGTGAAAGGTGGTGTATTAAATTGCAATTTTGCCTTCTTACATATTACATCAACTTTAATACACTATTCATCTAATTTTAACTAATCATTATTTCACATCACATCTCTCAAACTTTTACATCAAATCAATTTTACTTATTTTAATTTAAATATTATTTTAATATAAACTCAAAATCCCACTAACAACTAACTATATCATTTTTCAAAATTAACCATACCAACACAAAAAATTCAATCAAATTCAAAAAAATTTATATCCAAGCATTACGATTCTGTTTATTATTATTATTATTATTATTATTATTATTATTATTATTATTATTATTATTATTATTATTATTATTATTAGTTTGATGTCTCCAAATTGGGAGCACTGTCACCTGGGATTTCTATTCCAATTTTGTATTTTATTTTACTCCCTCCTGTTTTTTATATAAGTCGTTTTGTGTTAAAACACAAGGATTAAGAATTCTTTTTTTGCCAGTTTTACCCTTATTTAATGAAATTAACATTAATTAATTATTTTCTTTTCAGCTTTATTACGTTGTTTTAATGAAGAAAGACTCTTCATCTTCCTCATCCTTCACAAAATACACAGCTCCACAAAATACACAACCTCCACAAAATACACAACCTCGACAAAGTTTTTCGTTTGGAGCTAAATTTTCAACAAGGAGGTAAAATCAAAATTCATATTCAACATTCAAAGTTTGTGAAGCAACACCTACAAATGTTTATAAATATGGATAATTTAGTTAACCCTCACATCATGAACAAAGATTTCCAATGGCTTCAATCATTCCTTCATTCCGCTCAATTTGAACGAACCTCCTTACGACGTAGAATATGCAGTCCCAAGATCTTCACAAAACATTATAATCGACCTAAATGTTGACGACAACCCAAAAATTGGATACCCTGCTATCGAGCTCGACTTAAATCAGTTTTTTGAAGATGATGACGCAGCTAGGTCCGATTCATCTGTGGAAGAGGTAATTGGCCAGCAAGCTAATGGTGGAGAAGGAAATAGAGACATAGAAGAGGTACTTCAAGGGCATGTAACATCGAGTCGAAAAGAGTTTGATGGCGTCAATGGTGAAGCAGTGGAAACGAGACAAGGTGAGTTATTTTACAAAAAATTAAAATCTTATCACAGTACTTCAAAATTCCAAACCTTGAACCTCTTCACTTTAATAGCAAAACCTTGAGGCTTGATTTTACAAAACACAACCAACTATTGGCTTCCTGGTGCTTCTTTTCCTTTTATTTTTTTATTCTTTTGGTCCAGAAAATATGATTCATATTTTGAACTGTATACAACATGCATAAATGTTAACCCTGGGACATACGCCGGCTGCTGAGGGGATTAGAATCAGGGAAGAAGCCCGTGAAGAATGATCAATATATTGTCGTTTTTGCTTGGGTAAAAATTAGTTTAATGTACAGATCATTTTAAATTGAGGTGGAACCTTCAAGAAATCAGTTTTGCATAAAACCTGGAATAAATATATTATCTCAACTAAAAAAAAAAAAATCAATAATAAACACCATATTGATTTCCTAAATCAGAAAAGAACTAGTTAAGGACCTGCATGAAAGAAATGAATCAACAGACCAGGCCTTGTATCATTTATTTTATTTAATTTTATTTTTTGCTTGATTGATGTTATTTCTTCAAATTGTTTGGTTCTCTATGTTAAACTTGGTTACCACTATTTTAATAGGCAATGCTCAAGGGAGAAAGAAAAGGGTCCTAACTAACGCTGAACGGTGGATAGTTTACCATGCTTTGTTGGAAAAAATGTAAATGATAAATTGAAAAAGAATACAACAAAAGACGTGAAAGATATGTTCAATATTGAGGATCTGAGAACTGTTCAAAGAATATGAAAAATTCACAAGAGAACTCCACCAGGCTCAGATGTGGATGTTTCATCGAGAAAGGCACGAAACTGTGGCCGTAAACGAATTGAGGTGGATTTAATAGAATTCGACAAATAGAGTGGCATCAACGAACAACACTTATATCTCTTTCTAATGCTTTAGGAGTTAGTCGTTCCAAATTGTACAACCTTTTTAAGCGAGGCGTTCTACGTCGTCACTCAAGTGCCATCAAACCACATTTGAAAGACGAAAACAAAACATCACGACTAGAGTTCTGTTTATCGATGCTTGATGAAAGCACAACGTCGAACGAGCTAAAGTTTAAGGGAATGTATAACTATGTGCACATCGACGAGAAATGGTTTTACATGACAAAAAAAGAGCAAACGTATTACCTGCTCGACAATGAAGAAGAACCTCACCGTTCATGCCAAAGTAAAAATAACATTGCAAAAGTCATGTTTCTAGCAGCCACGGCTGGTCCTAGATTTGATGGTGAAGGAAGGGTTGTATTTTCAGGCAAAGTTGGATGTTGGGCGTTTGTGACAGAGCAATCAGCCCAAAGAAATAGCAGGAACAGGCAAGCTGGCACGATGGAGATGAAGGCAATCACATCTGTTAAAAGAGAGAATGTGAAAGCGTTTTTGATTGAAAAGGTTATCCCGACTATTATTGAGAAATGGCCTAACTCCGGAAAAACTATTTATGTCAAAAAAGACAATGCTAGGACACACGTCCCTCGTAATGACCCTCATTTTGTAGCAGCAGCTTCACAAAATGGCTTTGACATTCGATTAATTTGTTAGCCCCCTAATTCTCCATATTTGAATATACTTGACCTTGGGTATATTAGGGCTATACAGTCGCTACGACAAAAAATGTGTACAAGGAATATCCATGAGCTTGTAAGTGCGGTAGAGAATGCATTCTCTGACTATTCACCCATCAAGCTCAATTGTGTGTGGTTGACATTGCAATTATGTATGAAAGAGATCATGAAACTAGGAGGAGGAAATCGATATAAAATTCCTCATATAAACAAAAAATGGCTTCAAAGACTAGGTGAACTTTCTACACAAATTGCACGTGAGTCTACCTTAGTGCAAGCAACTAGAGAATTGTTAGCAGCACGACAAGGTAAATCAATGTTAACATTTGCTTCTCGTCTTCATATACTCACTATTATTGATAATGTTTTCATTTTCTTGTAGGGTACCGTTCGATTGGAGGTGGATTGGAAGAGCTTTAGTTGTGTTTGGTATTTAAAAACTGTAATTTCTTTGAGGATGTTCAGTTTTGGGGCAGTTTCTTTGGCCATAGTTTGGTGATGTTTGTTGTTATTGTCAATTGTGAAGATAATTGAATGCTTGTTGTTGTTGTGAGTTGTGAGCTTTAGTTGTCTTTGATGCTTGTTTTTTGAGGATGTATGACGAATCAAATGGCAAGAAATTTATATGTTCCCTATTATATTCCTTAAAAGAAATTGCTTTAGCTTTTGAAATTTTTGTTTCCATTTAGTAGTTTTATATCATTAATCATTGGTTTGTTTGTATATTTTCTGGAAAGAGAAAGGTGGTTGATAAATTGATTTATAATTTTAGATAATGAATCGTTTATCTCTCCAATTTTATCTATGAATATCATTTTGGTACAAAAATAAGAGTTGAAAGATTAGTAGTAGCTGCAAACTATCTAATTATAGGTTCTTGTAGTTGAATTTTTTTCTGCATAGTTACAATCTTTTTGTTCTTTTGTTTTTGGTTTCTGCAAAGCTAGTCGAAAGGAATGTGATGTTTTTTACTGCTCTTGTTGTCGCTTGTTCTTTTATGCATCTGATGTTGTTCATTTGGTCTTAAAGTCGAGTGGTCGAGTAAAGTCGGGACTCTCTTTTGTTGTACGTGAGTTGTCGACTTGGGCAGTAATAAAGTCGTTGATCGCAATGTCTTAGAGACTCGACGCCTCACCAGCTCCTCGGACCACAACTTGGAAGCCTTACTAATCCTTTATTAACAAATCAGTGCTTTTCTTGTCTACATAAGTCCCTTTTGCAAGTCAAAAAAGAAAAAAAAAAAAATCTTGTTTCAGATGTATCTGCAAATACTCACAAGATGTCCTCTATAAGAACTCCGAATCAATATAAAATAGTGTATTAGTTGTTGTAGTATGAGGATATTTGAATGTTTTGTGTGTTTATAAGTTAAAAGTAACACACTCTTTTAAGTTTCAGCTGACTGTGATGATGATGTAATCTAATTCTTGTACATGTGAAAGTTCGCCATGAGTTACCGATCAATGGTATGTATGATGCATGAATTATTCCATGTATTTTGATGTTATTTTATTGTTCTCTCTTTAGCGCGAGTGTGTGTTACTAGCGGTAGTCGAACTTAACCTTCTCTGGTTGCTTCGAGGTTTCATGATATGTTCTCTAGATGTATGTTTTAAGTTGAAATGTTTTATGCACTATCACTACTTGCATCATTTTGCGAAATTGACGATTATGTCTCTTTTCTCTTTTTTACCTTGACATAATAATTTGTCTTGTATTGTTTGCTGATATATGATATCTGAACTAATTAATAGAGTTTCTCAGCTTCAGTGTTCATTATTCCTTCGAAGTCTGGCTCTTGGGTTTTTGTAGGCAGTATGCTGTGATCACTTAGTTGCATGTTCACTTTATTGTTTAACTTCTTCTCCACCATTACTAAAAAGAATGTAAAGGGTTGCATAACAATTCATCTGGCACATTTAATTATACTTGAGCTACCTCGTCCCTGCTTTTTCTCCTTTGCCCCATCAAAATAGAAACAAAATAGAGTGAGTTTCAAATCTTCGTAGCATGTTTGCTTTTCGTGTTTGAATTTCATGTGATATACTTTCAAGTAGTCCAGTCTGACCAGTGATAGTTTCAATTTAACAACATTGTGCAGTTAAGTTGTTATCAATATTTTATCCAGTGAAGGATTGAATAGCATACTTATTGTTTCTTGCTTCTGATTCACTCAAATTACTTGTTTATTTCTTCTGATTTGCTCACATTACTGATTACAAAAATGATAGAGAATAACAATAAACCATCATTCATGAAAATTGAAACTAAATTGAATTCATATATACATAACAAAAAAAAAAATAACAATAATGTGCAGGGATATTTACCCCAATGAATCAATCTCAATTCCATGAGGCTCAACAACATGAAAAAAGAAAACAAGAAAAAAAAAACTAGATACAAACGTAACAAATTCAACAAATCTCTAAATAAAAACTACATATGTACATTTCATCTCCTCATCTGCCTTCATGACGAACATTCCTCGATTTCGCATCTCGAATCCGTTTCTCCTTCGAAAGTATGCCTGCTAACCTGTTGGAACAGACAGTAGAAAAGAACCATCAATCAATCAACCCCATATACATATTGACTTTAAATTATAGTTACTGTAAACTTAAATAGTATGAATTATACAATTTACCAAATCAATGCCTCCTCATTTGTTCCCTGGCCAGAGGGCACAAGAACTCCAGTATCCAAATCGACTCTCGAGACCCTTTTTTTAGCAAACATTTCCCGACTTTCACGAGTCGACTCAAATTCTTCTCAATCGCCACGTCTAACGAAGATGCTACTCCAGTCAACGTATCGCCCTGCATGAAAAAACACTTACTCGTTAAAAAAATAAAAAATAAATTGCACAAAAAATAAAAATAAAAAAATCAAACAAACACACGAACGAAACATGTAATAATCTCCAACACATTACATGAACGCTGAGGTAATTTTCTTGATAATGTAATGCCTGAAACACAGCAGGATTGTGATAATCTGCCAAGTCCCGAGTAAGCACGTCGAGCAAAGGAGTCGAGCCGCAACTGAACAACCATCCGAGTGGGCCCTACTTTCTTGCTTTCTTCGCCTCATAGTATTTCTCCTTACGCTTAGGCGAGCCGGTCCCAAGCGAGGGAACCAAGAAATGGCCGTGCTCGTGCGCAAAGAGGCTGCTGTTTTGCTTCGTTTGCATCTCGTTCTTTATGGTTCACACACAAATAAATAAATAAATAAATAAAATGTTTGAGAGTTTTTTTTTTTTTATTTCGATTTGATGAGGTGACTTGAATTTGGTTTTATACTATTTTTCTTACCGGGTTATTAGCGAAAACACCACCATCAATGAGGTTGAACTGTCTCGTTTTCCCGAAGGAGCCCTCGGTTTCGAAGTAATGCGCGGGTAGATAAGTCGGAGCAGCCGAAGTCCCGATGTATATATCTGAGAGTGGCGCATTCAAACGCGACCGATTTTTCCCCTAAAAGAAAATCTTGAACTCATGCAGTATACCAAAATTCCAAACTAAAACAGAACACATAACAGGGGAAGATAACAAGAAAAAAAAAGAAAAAAAAAACGAAAGCTTCTTTGGTACGAAACACACCTCATAAGTCGAGAAAATCGNAAAAAAAAAAAAAAATCACAAAACACACATTCATGCAGAGTTCAAAGTTAGAACTTAAACTGACTATAATTATAATTTTACCTCCTTTGGGGGAAAATCTTGGGGCAATGTTGTAGAAATCCTTAACTTCTTTTGCGGTGAACAATGGCCGGTTTTCTGGGTCGGGAGCCATGAGCATGGCGGTGACGAGGCCTCCGATGCTTGTTCCGGCAACCACGTCAAAATAATCGGCAATCCTAGCATGGGGCCCGTCGAGCTTCTGAAGCTCGGATTCGAGAAAACCAAGGATTACGCCCGGGATTATGCCTCGAACTCCACCGCCGTCGATTGAGAGTACTCTGATTAGTTGGCCGTATGCTTGAGAATCACTCTTGAATACTTGCACCATTCATTGTGTGTTAGTGTGTTTTATTTTTCTTGCTTTCTTTTTGCTATAGTATATGTTTTTTTTTTTCTTGTAACAGAGCTAGTTGATTTATATAGATATAGTGTTGGGATTGGGTGTTTAGAATAAGAAAATTTCTATTTGTTTAACTTGGATTATATTGGGATATTTAGTTGTAGTTAAAATCACTTTCGGATCGTTTACGTGTAAACAGAAAGTAAAGTTAAAAATCGTTGAGTAGCAAAATCAAAGGAAAGGATTTCGTCTATGTCGTTTGCAGGACTCGCCGTCCAATGGACGACTCCATTCACATAAGCATAAGGATTGGGCCATGGCGTGAGGTCGTGAAGAATGCGGTTCGTTATATCCTCCCAAGAATCGGACTTGAGCGAGTACAACTTGGCATGACAAGTACTGGCCTTTTCAAAGACATTATCGAAAAATCTAACAACTTTGAAATCTCAAAAGATAGGATTGAACCCAAAATCAGAATAGCAGAAGTCGAAATCCTTAGCATCTGGATGGCGTGGGATGGAGGTCGGAGGAAGGAGCTTGAACTCGTCCGTGGACGGGTTCCAAAAGGGAAGCGCCGCCTTCGTGAGCTAAGTCCTCTGAAGTTCACACCATAGTCGAGGTTGTTACCTACTTTTATGACGTCTCATAAAAGTAGAAAAATATCCACACTAATGAAGAAAAAACAAGAGAAAGTTGGTTGTACAGAAAGAATCAAGCTATATTTCATGTTTTGCTTGAGAGTAAAGCAAATTTGGATGCTCTCATAATTTGTGATATTGGATTATTTTTTATGGTAGTAGAATATTTTTTTTCCAGAATTAATTATGTTAACTGATTTCAGTATATTTTGATTAAAAAGAATTACTCCTATAATTTTCCATATTGATTTCAGACCAAAGTTAATTATCTAAGCATTATCAGCAAGACACAAATAATTCTATTTTGATTGACACCAATATTCATGAAATACACCTTACAGTGTGCCACACTTCAACTCCAAAAATAGAACATAAATAAAATCCCTGACTGATAAAGTTATTCTGTAACACCCCGCTCATCAGAGTAAATTTTTCGCAACTTTTACTTCGAAAATACTTATAACTCTTTCGAAATCTTTTGCGACTAACTCGGGATGCTACTCAAACTTATCTTTTCTGGAAATCCGTTTATCTTTAAACTTTGTCTAATACTTCTTTAGACATAAAGATAACAGATTTAATTAAACTTGCATTTAACTATATCATATTCATACTTCTGAAATGATAAAAACTTAAAAACTGAAATTTATTAGAATGCAAGTTCAAGTCTCAATATGCGTAGCGGCAATACTTAAAAACGTGAATAATTATACAGACATATCAAGTTCATAATAAATGTCCTTTTAAAGAAGTGCACGACCACCACCACCACTTCTTGAGCTCACACCTCCGGCCCGACACTGTTACCTGAAAAACACAATGGGGGTGAGTACTGATCCTTTTGTACCCCGAAAACACCCATACTAAAGTAAACAACAATAATAATACATTATCATGATCGTTGGTATATAACTGGACTGGAAATTTTTTCCAGTAACTGAAACTGAATCTGGCCGATATCTGATCGGATACTTATGCACAATCTGATGGATATTTCTCAAGGCAACTAAGGGCCTCCATCAGAACTTAGGATATACTCTAAGGCAACTGAATGCCTACTCATCCCAAGCGTATAAACTTAAACTGTATACATACCTCGGACATGATATCAATATTATACTCAATGTAATACCCAGTCTGGGTCCCCACCTTTCTTCTTTTGAAACTTTGAAAAGCGTAAGTGTTGTTCTTTGGTAGCTAGCTCCTCAAGCTACATAAAAATATAAACAAATATACTAAGTACTATGCTCGTATACTCAATAAGATGCTGGGATTCTTAACTCTACCAGATAACTTATCCGAATCTTAAAGATATTCATTAAACATGCTATTGCTCAAATGAATACTAAATCATTGAAAAACCAAACTTTTCTTAAACTTTTACTCAAGGTCAAATGCTTAACCCATATAAATCATATCTTTCAAAATCTTAGATATTGGCTTATACTCGCATGTCACTTAAATAACTCGTATGTGAAAATAAACTAAATTTCACATTAGACTTAATTGAATACATAAACTCAAAACATGCTCAACTTTTACAAATATCATATACATGATTTATACGGATTTTTAATCTATCAAACATGTCTTAAACTTGCTTGATATTAAAATCTCAAACTTTATGCTTATTCAATACAAGTTTTTATCATAACCATAAATTATGATATTGATATACTAGACTTGAAAATTTTTTATAAGATCACATACTCAACATATTGAGCTGAAACTTGGTCAAATTGCTCATCACTCATATAAGAATTTTTTCTAAAAATTCCATTTTAAAAAATCAACCATGTACTGAATACTCTTGCATATAAAATCATCTTGACATGTATGACATATAAATATTTTAACTCGTTCATTTCTCAACATAAAATCATGAAATTTGGTAGTCATATTCTTAACCCATATATAAGAATGTCGTAAAAATTTCATAATTTTATCATGCGTATATATCGAGTTATTACAATTTTAAAGTCACAGCTGAAATAAAGAACATAAAATTCAACTTGCATGCTTAACTTCAAAAATTTATAACTCAAGCTATACTATGTCAAATGACATAATTCTTTCACCTATATACTCAGCACTTACACAAGAAATATCCATAATAAGCTTAACATGCCAGGTTATGCATATCATGCTCAAATTCAAATCAAAACAGTACATATATAACATGTGATTGTGCTGGAAACGACTTATCATTTTTTTTTCATGCTTAAAATTTCTTTAAAAATTGAATATATATATATATGGCATGAAATTACATCAATATTCACTTAATATAAACTATAACATATGATAAAAAGGTAGCATCTAACCTTCTTCAAGAAATTTGAAAATGAAACTTCGGAAGTTGATCTCAACTTATCTTCGTCAAGATTTCTCTCGATTTATCTCTCTTTCTTACCCTCTATAGCTAAGAATTTGCTTATTATGATGTGAATTTCGAGCCTATGTTGATGCTCCTTTATATAGGGTAGCAAAGGAGACAACATCACCTTCTTTACATCAACACTCCATCATAATAAACACCATAGGCCCCTTATCATTAATGTTTTTCTAAAATCTTGCACAAAGATGATTAAGCCTTGACAAGTACTTGTAATGCATGATTTATCTTGCATATATCTAGACAAACCTTCTCCCTTTGACCATGCCTCGAAATTAAGCTAAAAATGGCTCATTTATCCCTTAAAAAATACTTAGAAAAATTTTATAAAAATAGATAAAGATAAAGAATGGAAATCATAACTTGTAAACATAACAAATCTATAGTCAATACTTAGAAAGGCCCATCATGTGATCCTAATCTGATTTCCATGATAAAATTCGTGACTTAATGAAAAATTTCCAATTTACAGAACCGGATTCTGACTTAAAATGAACGGTTACCGAAAAATCGAAAATTCTAAAAATTTCATATTTTCATCTTTTGCTTTTGGCCTTTTTCCTTTTTATGCTGAAAATTTTTAACTCTTATTAATGATCTTGAAACTTGTAAAAAATACAAGAAAATAAATTTTTCGGAAACGAAATCGGACTTAATTATCGACTACAACCGAACATCGAAAAAACTCGAAACTTGCGAATATAATTTTTGAATATACTCTTAATAATATAAATAGACCTTCTTGTCTAAATAACTTCTACTTAATCCTTATAACTTATCAATCAAATCATATAAGTCAAATAAAATACTTAGGCAATTTATAACATTTACTCGGCTAACTCAATTTAATGAAAACGATTCCGATTTAACTTTAATGTCGAGCCAACTGAATCGTTTCTAACTGAACTAGTCATTACATCAACTTGATGAATTTAAACACTTAGAAAAATTCTAAGTATTTAATACTAAGGCTCGACTATAAATTAGGATTTCTCGGCACGGTTAACTTGAACCGAGCTTAATTTACTTATAAGGCCAACCTTTGCTTAATTTTACTTCCAAATTAATGGATTGATCTTGACCTTATAATGAAAAATAAAATTCTAAGAGATTTATTAAGGCATGGAAGTATAAAAGATCATTATTAATAAAAGTAAAATAGTTCTAGCTTAGAACTGAAATAATTACTTTTATTAATTACTGAATGGGATATTACAATCTACCCCCCTTAAAACTATTTCCGCCCTCGGAAATACTAAAACTGAGATACATACCTTCTGAGTACATATCAAAACTCAAAATCTGGAAAACGAGCTCTAATATCAGCCTCCCGCTCCCAAGTGGCATTTGACTCTCCGTGGCGATTCCATCTAATACGAACAAGGGGAATATCTCAATTCCTGAGCCGATGAACCTTTCGGTCCAAAACTGCTACTGGCTGCTCCTCATAAATTAAATCAGGCTGAATCTGAATTTCATTGTGCTGAAGCACATGCTCTGGATCGCACACGTATGCAGGTAACATCGATACGTGAAAAACATTATGCACACTTGACAACTCGGGAGGTAAAGCTAAGCGATAAGATACTTCTCCAACTCGCTCCAGAACTTCAAATGGACCTATATAACGAGGATGCAACTTGCCTCTCTTCCCGAAACGAACGACACTTCGCATCGGTCGAACTTTCAAGAATACTTTATCTCCAACTTCAAACTGCATCTCCCTTCTGTGCTTATCGGCTGAAGACTTTTGACGACTCTGAGCAGTCTTTAGCCTTTCTCGAATCCAGGCTACTTGCTCAACTGTCTCTTCTATCATCTTCGGACCAAGGACTCGTCTCTCTCCAACATCATCCCAATAAAGAGGCGAACGACACTTACGGCCATAAAGTGCTTCATACGGATCCATATGAATTGATGTGTGGTAACAATTATTGTAAGCAAACTCTACTATGGTAACCACTTCTCCCACTTGGCACCTCTATCCAGAATACAAGCTCTGAGCATATCCTCGAGCATCTGAATAGTCCTTTCTGACTGGCCATCTGTCTCTGGATGATAAGCCGAACTAAACTTCAATTGTGTGCCCATTGCCTCATGCAAACTCTCCCAAAATCTTCTAGTGAATCTGGGATCTCGATCGGATATGATCGTAACAGGCACTCCATGGAGTCGAATGATTCCACTAGTATAAATCTCGGCTAACTGGTCCATTGACATGGTCATTGTTACAGGCATAAAGTGTGCGACTTTCGTCAATCTGTCCACTACTACCCAAATCGCATCATGCTGTTTAGATGACTTAGGTAGCCCTGTAACAAAATCCATGGTAACTTCTTCCCATTTCCACTTTGGAATTTCAAGTGGTTGTAACAGATCTAATGGACTCTTGTGCTCTGCCTTAACTTGCTGACAGACCAAACACTTCTTTACAAAGTCTGCTACATCTCTTTTCATCCCTTTCCACCAAAACGACTTTTTCAAGTCATGATACATTTTGGTGCTTCCAGGGTGAGCTAAATAAGGCGCACTGTGTGCTTCTGTCAAGATTTCCTTTCGCAAGGACTCGACTTTCGGCACAATAATCCTGCCTC